TCTCTCTCTCTCTCTCTCTCTGTCAAATAAATAAAAAAAAAATTTAAAAAAAAAAAAAAGTAGAACAGAAGATAGTCTCAAAACTAAATGGGAAACAAGATGGTTTTCTTTGGGTATGTGTATTTAGTTAGATAAGTCAATATATAGGAAACATATGTTCAGTTTGTTGTAATAATGGTTTGTACTGATAAAGTTCTCCTAAGGAAAAAAAAAAAAGAATATCTTATTAGGGGAAAAAACATTTCATGAGTTTTCCTTTCTTTTTTGGGGGCCAGAAATGTGAACGTCTTCTGCTTTACCTCTATTGCCATGAATTAAGTATTGAATTCCAGGAGCCAGTTCCTGCTTCGGTGAGTTGTTTACATTATGACATCTCTAGTGAAGAAACTTAGTATTAAGACTTAAGAGTGTTGGCTGTGGCCTTAAGACTTCTTGTCTCAGGCTCCTTGAATAATCTTAACCTCTCCAAGGTTCAAATTTTCTTTTCTAATACTATTTCTTTCCCCATTTTGGATATTCCAAGAACACATAGGATAAAGAATGTTTTAGCACAGTACCTGATAATGTTGTAAGTATTTATTAATCTAAAATTTTATTAGGGCTCTTATGGATGTGGAATTCACTTGTCAAAAATTGCAGTTTGTTTTTTAAAGGTTTTGTTGTTGTCATGAAAACTTAATGAATTTAATTTCTGTGTCCTCTTTCACTTTTAAAATGGACATAAAGGATATGGGTGTAATGGAAAGAATCTTGGACCAAGAGTCAGAAGACTTAACTTCTCCCAGTTCTTACATTAACTAGCCTTAAAACTTGGGGGAAACTACTTAATTTTCTGCCTCTACTTTTTTAAACATACAGTGGGAGTACTGGACTGAATTATTTCTAAAATTCCAGTTCTATGATTCTAGGCTCTGTACCTTGGGGAGAAAACAGTCTCTATGTAAGTATTAATTTGAATAAAAATGTAAAATTGAATCTTTCACACTGGCTCTTAATGTTATGAAGATAAGCCCTCTTTATGAACAGTCAAGATTAAGAAAGGACTGGAAATTTTGCAAGTCAGTGCTCTTTGTTTATCTTAAAGGAGACTAATAAGGAATAAAAGCTGTAAAGTCCCATAGGAAAAGGAATATCAGGGGTCCTCTGGCTTCATAAATGGAATGAGAATATGCTACACACATTTGCTCACCATCATTTGTTGAATTAAGATATTGTTGAATACCAGGCCTATAATAGAATATTAAGTAGTAGACTTATTTACTGGGTAGGCTCAGAAATGAATTTTAAAGCACAAAAGGCCTAGACACAAGGAAGATGTTTTGTGTAAATAGTAATCCTCTGATACTAGGAAGTTTGTCTTCAAGTTCAGGGACTTTACAGTAGAAAATAACTTTCAAACATTTCATCAACTGTCTAAATAGCTTCTCCAAGTTCAGTTGTTTCTCAAGGGTACAAATTTTTGGCCAGAAGTTGGGGTTAGAACTCTCCCTGGCATGGTCACTAAAGGGTTAATAAAATTTTTCTTATTATTTATGCTCTTTCTCCCTCTGTTGTTTTATGTCCAGAGTTCTTTGTGATATAGTTAGCCTCTAAAAGATAACATTCTAATGACAATAATAATAATAAATTTTGTTCTTTTTATTTTTTCTTTCCTTTTTAAAAAAAAAAAACAAAACTCTTCAGGAGTCATAATATTCTGATGAGCCAGATGTGTCCTTAACACTAATGGTTGGCTACCCTTGCTGATTGCGTTCTTTCCATATCTCCTTACCACAGATAGAGCTTTTGGGGCCTTCATTAACCATTAAGACTGCCACAGATTCTGAATATGATTTGGTTTTTATTATATGTGATTGGGGCCTAAGATTTAAAGTACCTTCACTATACCTAAAATTTGTAAGCAGCTGGCTCAATAATTAACATATGTTGTTTTCTACAATCAGTGTGCTATGCATTTTCAAATAAAACAGTTTGGCATTTTTGGAGAATCCTTATCTATCCTTATTTATTTGTTTCTTTAGATACCAAACTACTATAAAATTATAAAGAAACCAATGGATTTATCCACCGTGAAAAAGAAGCTTCAGAAAAAACATTCCCAACACTACCAAATCCCAGATGACTTTGTGGCTGATGTCCGTTTGATCTTCAAGAACTGTGAAAGGTTTAATGAAGTATGTTAGCTTCCAAACTATAAAGTCTTGGATTACTAGTTTTTTTTTTTAATTATGTTTTTCCTGCTAAGAGATTTTTCTAATTTGATTCAAAAAAATTTTTCTGCCGCAGTTCTGTCAAAAGTAAAATTTGATTGCATCCACAGCTCTATTGAAGAAAGTTTACTGTGTATAATTTGAAGTATATTGGATATGCCTTTTTGAACAAGTTGAGGGTTGAGATATACAAGTATAGAAAGTAGTCTGTAGTTAAGTATATGGGAAATGATTATAAATAGCTTATATTTGGGTACATTTAGGAAAGGCATTTGTATTGGTTCCTTTGATTTTATTATTAATGTAGGTTAATAAACTAATCTCTGGTGGCTCATCTTGAATAGTAGCCCAGAGTATATAATGTTGAATTTTTTGATCTCAGCAATATGACTTTCATTAACTTTGATTATGTATTTTTTTGAGGATAAGGATGGGCTATCCTTGAGGAAAAATATGATACATGACTCACTCCTTCAAGGAAATTGTTTTGTTTTCTTTGAGAAGAGGCAAGTCTCTTATTGTTAGGGAAGATTTTCATTATTCTAGGAGAAGAAAATGGAATTGGATAAGAATCAACAAAATCTTTAGGAAGATTAACAGTAAAATATCTTCTTTATTGTGGTTGAAATTTGGTGCCATATGACTATTACTAAAAGGACATCAAATCATTTAAAGTATATTCATAGCTCCTCTGGAAGCATCTAGGTGACCTTTTTAAAATTTGAAAAAATCCTTATAGGTTAAAAGTAGAGTGTAGCACTATACCACAGAGTATAGTAAAACCTTACTCACTTGAAGTAAAATTGATATAGTCCCATTTTTTGGTCTTACTTTATAATCCAGTTAGATTATTTTCAAATAAATGTGCTTTTGTGAATTGTAGCTAACATTTGCGAGGGAGAAGACACATTTTATCTGCTTTAGTAATAGTTAAATAATTTATGTTTAACAGATTGCCATACAGATAGAATTCTAAGTGGTTTGTTGATGGTTTGGCAGTTTTTAAAAAGCAACATTTCTTATATGATTAGTTTTTTTGTCTTAATTAGACCGATGTATTCAGTCAACCTCCATTTCAGATTGACTTTACTAATTCAGAATTTGAGAGCATTCTTGAGGTTTCACATCAGCTGTAGTAACAGAACTTTGTAAAGAAAGTGGTTCCGTGTGTTCTGTAGAATTTTAGAAAGCACTTAATCTGGTTATAGCAATTTGTTCCCCCTAGTATGGCTGACTTTCGTCGCCAATCCTATGCAGTTTCATAACTTTAGAAAGGATTATAATTTCCCTTTTTTTTTTTTGACTCTGGTATCCTTTTTAGATGATGAAAGTTGTTCAAGTTTATGCAGAAACACAAGAGATTAATTTGAAGGTAAGCTTTTCAGACCATGCAAACTTGGTGAAAGAATATGCATTACCAATAGGTGAATATTCCTATCTTTTGCTTGCAGGCTGATTCAGAAGTAGCTCAGGCAGGGAAAGCAGTTGCATTGTACTTTGAAGATAAACTCACAGAGATCTACTCAGACAGGACCTTCGCACCTTTGCCAGAGTTTGAGCAGGAAGAGGATGATGGTGAGGTAACTGAGGACTCTGATGAAGACTTTATACAGCCCCGCAGGAAACGCCTAAAGTCAGATGAGAGACCAGTACATATAAAGTAAAATGACATGAACTTAAATAATTGTTTAAAAAAAAAAAAGAAAGAGAGAAAAAAAACCCTTTTATTTAAGTGTTGCTGGAATATCCTGCCTACAGTGGGCACCTCCTTGAAGAAGCTGATAGCTTTTACACAGTATTAGATTGAAGTAATGGACAGAAGTCACTTCTTGTCAAGAAAGGGGGAGAGAACTCTATTTGCAACTTTAAAAGTAAAAACAAAAAGCAAAAGTGAAATGATTTGAAGATTTCTGTTACTAAAGAGGATGGTTCTTTAGAATGGCAGATGTTGGTGATCATGTGGTATTGATTGGTTCAGGATGCTGGGTGTATAAGTAAATACTTGAGGGTCATGTCGCTTGATAAATTGTCTCTTTGGACAAGAGTGCACAGCTGTTAAAAACAACTTTCATGCCTCCCCTTCCACACACATACATACTGGTTTGTTTTCTAGGTAAAATCAAAGTTGCTCAGATTCCACTTTGATGTCAGTGCAGATGTGCATTGAATCATGCCATTATATTTTTTCTTACTTTGATGCTGTTGGGCCTTTTAGTTTTTATATTGGCTTAAAGAACTCAACGGTAGTTTTATTTTCTATTTATACCTAGAGTCTAGGAAACATCATTGATCATCATTTAATCAATTTTAATGGTCTGCTGAAATAAATATGGTAACTTTTCAGTGGCAGATCATATAGTAATCATTTCCAGAAAAACACTTCCACAGAATTGCACTTCCCAGTCAGATCATCTGATCATACAGTTACTCCCATCAAAGGCAGAATGTTTGTTTCAAAATTAATCTATAGTTTTCTGTACATTTAAATTTGATTGAGAAGGTGACAACTGGCTCTTATCCAGTCTTCCTTCATGTCAGTTTTCTGATAGACCACTATTGGCAAACAGTAATCTGTCAACTACCAAATGTGTAAAATTTCTGTATTTCACTTTGTCTTATTTGTAAATAGTGAACTAAAACTTCTGGCAGATCAGCAACATTTGCTGAGCCTGTTTTTTAAGCTAATGTGTATTCTTACTAATGTTCCTATCAAGAATGGATTTGTAATATATGCTGTCTATTTCTAATGTTCACATTCATATTTTGAGGTTCTATCTTATTTTAATAGAGAACAGACTTCTCAGAAAATCTTCAGAAGCAGCTTATTATTAAATATCAAACTATTGAAATAAACCCGGTGGGGTTAGATTACTCATCTGTCCACCAAGTGGGACATTTGCATGGACTGGGGCTTAACGGACTTAGAAGAGGCCTGTAAGTAAATCCTGAAAATGAGCCAATCCCCACTTGAATGGTTACTGGAGTAAACCCACCTTTACTACCCTGAGTTCAGCCCCTGAGGCAGATAAACCACCTTGGCTTGGTTTCATTTTTTTTCTCTTCATTTGTGATGCTCAGATCCAAGATGTGTGTTCTAGACCGTGTACAGGCTTCTCTTTTGTTGGATTAAAAAATTTAGTCCTACTTTTGTATGGACACCTTAGAATATAAAGTGACCAAAATAGAAGACTTGCCATTAGATATTTTTCAGACGTCAGCAGATTTGTGGCAAATCATTTGCCTTTTTAAAACTTCAGCTTCTGCAGTTCAGACAGTAGACTACTCAGTAAAAATTATTTGACATAATTGTCTAAGAGGTAAATATTTTTTAGTGCATATTGAATCAAATAAAGTGCTCTAAAGAAATTATTATACAAATTCCTTTGGGTTGTTTTTCTTTTCTTAAGTGTTGGGGGTAAACATGAATATTATTCAGGCCTTCTGATGGTGTATGTAAGTGGTGTTGATTTTATTACTGCTGTTGACTGACTTCATTCTGTGGCTTCCTTCTAGCTTCTCTTTCAGTTTTGTTGTAAGTTCAGCTTTAAAATTTACACCGAACTGTTCTATCATTTTACTCAAATTTTCAGGTACCTAAGAAGAGTTTTCTTATAAGAGGGAGAGAATCGTTTTAAAATGCTTTATTTATGTGCATTTCTCTCTTTCCCACAACTGTTATGATTTCAGTTTATCAGATGTATCTAAGGGCACATTTTTGGAAAGTGATGAGTAGCAGTATAACTTCTTTTGTCAAGCCATTGATTTCTAATATTTTATACTTGCTCTTCAGATGAATTCTTTTCATGATTCTTAGATAAATCTTTTATATAGGTTCTACCAATGGGGGAGAAACTAAATTTTAAGTAAATATTTCTTGATATTTGGGGCCTTAAAAGATAATGTGTTCCCTTAAAGATATTTCCATGTTAGGTGTAATTTTTTTTTTTCTTTTAAGATTGGTTTTTGAAAAGCCACTTTATTGTCAACATTTAATAGGCTCCATTTCTGTTAACAGAAGACAATTCATATTACTGAGGATTTACTATTAAGTAAATAGCTATCAACAAACCACCCTTAAATGAAGATTTAGATTTCATTGAAGCTTTTTTCTTGTACACTGATCACTGTGTTCCTAAGCTGATAATCAGTTCAGCCACTATCTAATATAACCGTTAGAAAGTATAAAAGCTCAAATTGATACTCAGATGTCATGTTTTTCTATTTTATGTTTCAAAAAAGCAAACATTGAATATCAATTCCTGAAGGCAATTTACTCTTTGTTAAAAGGCAGTATTTTAGATTTGGAGGTGTTAAGTGTTTCCTTAAAAACGTGCAAAGTTTTGCAATACTTCAGTTCCCATCTCCCATCAGAACACTGTTCCTCAGTCTGTTCTGCTGGCCTGAATTTGTATTTTTTTTAGCACTTGGCTCAGCTGATGGAGTAAAGGAACTGTTTTGCAAGGTGAAGCATGTGCGTGTTCCAAAGTATGGTTAGATTGTAGGTCATGCTCTATATAGAAACATCAAATCATTACCACAGAGAGATGATAAGGCATTGGATCCCCTGTTGAAATTATTCTTTTTGGAATCAACAAGGTACTTTCTGACTTCTATGTCTTATATAAAGGAATTTTAAATAATATAAAGTCAGTTAATTCTCACTTTTTGTTGGAACAAGTTTTTGAGATTTTTAGTTAATCCAAAGAAATAATGCTTTTAAGTAGAAGCAAAAGGTTAATAGTGTGCAAATTGTAGGTTTACCAATTACCTCAGCAGGTATCCTGCCATGTAATTATTAGTAATTAGTGTTAATAAGCCAGTAGATTTAGGTCTTCTGACTGTGCCCTTGGATTTTGGCCTACCATATGTTACTCAGCAATCTCTTAGTATCCAAAATGGGAGTAGATGCTGTGGCCCCCTCTCCCTTGGCCTTTTTAAGTCCCTTACCCATTCCCACTCACAACACAGGAAGTATAAAGATCTCATTTCTTATTGAAGTCAACACTGCTTATTTGCATACTCAGCATTGGATCGGTGAGTAGTTTTGTAAAATCCACCCACCCCAACTCCCCTAATTAAAACAATCAGATTCTTAATTCATACCATCTGTATTATTAATCTGCTAAAGATGATCCAAGGTTTTCAAGGTGTATCAGTTTGATCTTGAACTGAACCTGGATGCTTTCTTTTAGTTTTCTCACAGTTCTCTCCTCCTTGATAAAGCAATAACACTGCTTTAGGTCTGTTGCCTAATAGGCACGTCATAGTCCTCTCCCGGATGATTTTATAGGAAAGTTTGTATGCATATCACCCAGTCTATCTTTTAAAAAATAAGAAATTTAAATGTATGCTGGAGCTTATGACAATATATTGTGGCATTTTATTTTAAAAATTGGGGAAAGTTGCATATTTTTTTAAAAGTAGGTATTTGAGTAAAAAAAATTGAAGGTACTTTTTTAAGAAAAAAATTTATATGCCACAGTTTACATAGACATTTCAGATTTCAACATGTACTCTTGGATATAATGGTTTCTTTTACTTGGCCAAAATGCATGTAAAGCATATCTTCCATCTTAGTTCCTTGTGTTTGCCTTCGTGGTCTTTTATATATTTTTTATTGTATCTGAGAAAGTTATCTTCAAAAATAACTCAATTTGGATATATTTGTCATAATCATACTACAAAATGTACAAAATTAAGTTTAGCCCTTTTCTAGCAAGTAATCTTTAAAGTCAAAAATGCACCGAATTTGTATGTGGGAAGGCACTCAAATGATTTTGTAGGTGCCACTGCAATATTCCCTTTCAGGTGTGGCCTAAATTTCAGTCTTAAGAAGAAAGTGCTTGTCTGCTCCTGGTCTGAAAAATGTAGGCATTTACTATGTTTTAAATCACAGTGAAACATGTATATAAGCCTATAAAAACGGTATGTGCAATCTGAAAGCCTGTTAATTTTCTATGTAGACATACACACGAAAGGGTTAAATTCACAGCCTTACTAGTTCCTTGCTTCCAGTATTTCAACTGGTCTCCTCCCCTCATTATTATTATTATTATTATTATTATTATTACTACTACTACTACTACTACAACTACTATTATTTTTGCACATAATTAACTACCCTTCAATATGATTCTTAAAGAAAAAGTGCTGTTTCTGTGGTATTGTATTCTCTAAATCATATTTAATTTTTTAAAACAAGGTTGCAGTTTCTAATTGTTCCGTTCCTGTGTTTTTTGCTGGTGTGTATTAAAAGCAAGATTTTCTTTTTCATGGTTATTTAATACATTAGCTGCCTGTAAATATTTCTTGTTATAATGCTCTGGAATGTGTTGTAGAAGTTGTATTAGATTAGTTTAAAGCCTTGTTTGAAAGCCACATTGTTTTGGTTATTTCTATTAAATTAGAAAATTGAAAAAGTTTGCAAATGAATTCCTTTTTTTCTTCCTCTTTGAGTTGAAATTTAATCATTAGTTTGCTTGAAAAATGTTTACTGTATGCCAGGCACTGGAGATATAGAAGTGAACAAGATAAATTACAGTCCCTGCCTTCACAAGTGTTTAGACTCTATATGAGAACAATCCGTGTTATGATGGGATCAACAAAGAATATAGTAGGAACATACAGGAAAGGCTCTAACACCAAACTTTGTTGATCAGGAAAGTGATCTCTTTCACTCATAAAAATATGATGACAGGGGACCAGGCAAAGAGTGAAGAGAGAATAAAATATAGAAAAGTCTGAAAATGAAAGGGAATGTATTTATGTATTCCAGGACCTGAGAAGTTCAGCTTGGATTAGAATATTAGTTGGAGCAGTAAAATACTAAGCTGGAGAACTAACCCAGGGTCCTTTTTAAGCAGTGCCTTGAGAGTCATGTTAAAGGGTTTGGGGCTTTCACTGATGTTAACAAGGAGCCCTTGAAGAATTTTAAGAATTCTTCTTAAAGAATTATCCAAGAATAGGGCTTGAGAGAGCTGATATAATCTGACTTGCCTTTTTGAAAGTTTGTTTTAAACTGTGAAGAATGGATTATGGAGAATATTGGAAGTGGAGAGAGAGTTGTCAGCTGTGAGTAATCCAGATGAGGCCTAAACTAGCTATCTGGTAGTGGAGATGGAAACTAGCAGTCAAATTTTAGAGAGATGTAGAAAGTAAAACAGACCAGTAATTGAGGCCAGGTGGTCCTTACCTTAGGCATATTTTATATGACACCTATTAAAATAATAAAGAGTGGGAAAAAGGGATAGATAATGAGTGGAGAGAAATGAATTCAGTTTGGGAGGCATGTTGAGTTTTAGGTACCCGTGGAGAATGAAGGTGTGGGTGTCCATGGTTCTGGTGCTCATGAAAAATAACTGAGCTGCAGACAGAGCCTCTAAGATCCATCAGGATCCCGTCTGTCTTGTCACTGAAAAATGGCTAGCACATGATAGGCATTCAGCAAACACCTGTCAAAAGTTGAGCCATTAGCATAATGTTGTTAACTAAAACAATGTAAGATACGTTATTGCCTAGGAAAGTTATAGAATGGTAAGAGTAGGGTACTTATGGTAGCAGAGGAAACATTTAAGGAGTATATTAAAAAAAAAAAAAGATTCTATAAGAAGACTGGATTATTTTTGGAGGAAAGGCAGAGGAGCCATAATGGAAGATGAGAGAGGTTTCATAAGGGGTTTCAAAAGGAGTATCCTTGAAATCAAGTGTTAGAACAAGAGATGAAGTAAAGGTACAGTGGCCACTGAGTTGAGCAATATAGAAGCCATAGGGAGAGCTATTCCATTTGAAGCAGCAGTAAGAATACAGTGGGTTAGATAAGTGATTGAGTATAGATTGTTTTTCAAGAAATTTGACTTTGGTTTTTCTTTAGGTCATGCAGAACTATGGCCATGAATAACCAAGTGAAATATCAGAATGGAACTTCAAATTGTTACCTTTCTGGATGCATTTTGTGTAGTGGAAAAATCAAGTTTTGGCCATTGGGCCACATGAACCCTTTGGTTTGAAGTGGTAAACTTTGTTTAACCAGTTACCTGTATGAACTCTGAGTTTCACTTTATTTGTCAAATTAGGATAGTTATCTAGCTCCTGGAATTAATATGGACAAGAGGTCATTTATAGCACAAGGTTGACAAATGGTAAGTTGTGATAAGGAAACATATAGTTTCCTTTTTTTCCCTATTTCCTCTTCCTGCTATTGCCATGAAAAGGGGCAAGTTAGAAATGTAGTTTCTCCTTTTTTACTAATGAGATGAGAAAAAATGTAGATGCAGGGCCCCAAGGCTTTAATATCTGTCCTCAACTCTTAAATATTTAGCTTGTCCTTCACTTACTTGAGACTTGAGTTCTAAACTCCAACAAACACCCAAATTGGCCTCTACATTTTTAAGATAATACTTGCAAAAATGAATTGGTAGGATAAAACACCTAATCCAAGGTTTTGTCTCAAGCTTCCCCTTTTCATGGCCTTAGGTGGTGGTAAATCTGTCACTATTCTTTCATTTATAAAGTTGTTACTGTTGATCTGGAAAGGCAATATATAGTGACCTCTGTTACTGGCAATATGGTAGACTGACTGCATGCACTGAGGAACCCTCCTAATGGTATAAAACATCTGAAATGCTGGATAAGATTGGTTTTAAAAAATCTTTAAATGTATTGCTGAGCTAGCGAGGAAGATACTCAAAGCTGTAGCTTAAGCCCTGGGTTTTTTTTTGTTTTTTGTTTTTTCCTTTGATTTTTGGTTTTTCTTTTTTTTGTAAGCGAGTGTCTGCCTTAAGCTTTGATTGCCAAGGCATCCACTTCAAAGACAACTTTCTGACTAAACACATTGCCAGCCACACAACTAGATAAAGAGCCAGGCCTCCTTTCCCCAAGGAGGCTCCTTTGATTTACAAATCTTGGTTGATTTCAGTAAGTGACCATTTGAACCACTTGTCTTTTCCACACTTTAAATAATTCCCATTCTCCTGTTTTAAATTCACCAATAAGGAGTGAGCCCATGAAACCCTAGACCTACCGCCAACCTCAGTAAACATGGAACCCCTGGTCCTGTGTGTGTGTCTCCCCCTGCACCACCCCCACCCCGCCCCCATCTCCCTCTGCAACCTTGCTATGTGGGCCCAGGTGTACTGTGTAATTTCCATGTCTTGTAAGTCATAAACCTTTATTTCTTCAGTTTCCTGATGGTTGTTGCTGAAGTGTCTTGCAATCATAGTAAGAACCACAGAGGCCCATCCAGCCACAGCATTAGTTATTGGTAGATTGAGACCAGTACAAAACAAAGCTCCACTTCATCACCTGTAGCATTTTAACCAAAAATATTTGACAGTCTAATCATATGAAACAATTAGACAAAAGTGCAATGTAGGACATTTACAAATATGCCTGGTGTGAATTTTTAAAGTAACTGTTGTGTGAAAGAGGTGGGGAGACTGTTAACAGATCAAAAAACAACATGTAATGGGAGCACTTGGGTGGCACAGTCAGTTAAGCGTCAGACTCTTGGTTTCGGCTCAGGTCATGATCTCAGGGTTGTGAGACATCAGCTCTGCACTCAGTGTGGAGTCTGCTTGGCTTTATCCATTTCTCTCTGTACCCCCCTCCCCCATGCTCTCTCTCTCTCTCTCTAAAATATTTTTTTTTAAAAAATCGTGTAATGCATTAACTTAGATTTGATCTTGAATTAAATAAACCTAGCAATCAAAGCCATTTTAGAGACATTTGTGGAGATTTGTATATGAATTCTTAATGATATGGAATGTTTAATTTTCTTAGGTGACAATCATTTTTTCCTTATACAGAAGAATGTCCTTTTTCTTAGGAAATGCATGCTGAAATATCTAGGAATGAAGTGTCATACTACTTTCAAATGGTTAGGCCAATGGGTGTGTGTGTAAAATAGATATATGAGATCATGTGAATGTGGCAGAATAACAACTGGCAAATCTTAGTGAAAAGTAGATGGGGTGTTTATTATTTCAAATTTTTGAAGACTTCACAAAGTTTTCAAAATAAGGTTTAGCGGGGTGGAACAAAAAGCGTGAATCCAAAGAAGTATTGAAAAAGTTGCTCCAAAGGCTCTGCCAATCCTTGTGTCCTAAAGACTTTGGAATGGGCTAAGCTTTAAAAGGGAGACAGAGCAGGGCGCCTGGGTGGCTCAGTCGGTTGAGCGACTGCCTTCGGCTCAGGTCATGATCCCGGAGTCCCGGGATCGAGTCCCGCATCGGGCTCCCTGCTCGGCGGGGAGTCTGCTTCTCCCTCTGACCCTCCCCCCTCTCATGTGCTCTCTCTCTCTCTCATTCTCTCTGTCAAATAATAAATAAAATCTTTAAAAAAAAAAAAAAAAGGGAGACAGAGCATAGGGCCAACATAAGGGTGGGGTCAGAGTGAGATACTCTTCCAAAACCTGGTACCTCAAAATATGATACACTCAGTGAAAGAATGAGCCAGAATAGCCTACCTGAGGAGAGGAGAGAAAGAAAACTGGGTGGGGGGAAGTGGGGAAAAAAAAAACCTACCCTTAGAATTGGTGTCTACAAGCTGACACTTAAAATGGTTTTGGAATCGGACTTAAACTACCTATGTCATCAGAAAAACTAAGACTTAAAGTGGTATCAGGTTAGAAGTGTTTTCCAGGCACTTAAACAAGTGTTAATATAACTCTTTCAAGGAAAGCACTTCAAACCCAATCTTGAAGAATTTTCATAGTGTTATAATAATCTTGGACTCATTCAAAGTCACAAAAATGAGAAACAAGTCATTATTAAAAAATTAGGAGAAAGCAGAATCTGGCATGTAATGATTGCAGACATTGGAATTATTGGATGAGCGTATTCAGACATTGAAAAGATTTTAGTATCTCTAAAATTGGGATGGCATTGTAGTATATTGGCTATGTTACTGGTATAAAAAGTCGTGTATCCTTTGATACTTGATGGCTTAGATTCATTGAAATACAAAATGCATAAGGAATAGAAGAATGTCCAAAAATTGAGCAAGAATGAGAGACTATTAAAAATCGTGGAGGTGGGGATAACAGGTGCATGGGAAGAAAAATGATCAGATTTGAGAACAAAACATCTAGACAAAAACATACAGATAAAAGAAGACCAAGATGAAGAAATTACACAGTGTAGTACAGTACAGAGAGAATGTGTGAAGAAGTTAAAGGTCACCAAGAGCATATGGTAAAGGCCAACGGACATCTTATAGAGTACCAGAAGGATGATACAGAGAATGGTTAGGGATCATATTTGAGGGTATTTTGGCTGAGAACTTTCCACATTTGCTTAAAGTCCTACATCAGCTTTGTGGAGTTTAGAAAATAAATCAACATCTAGACATACTGAGCTAAGTTCTGGAAGATAGACAAAATCTAGGACCTACAAAAGTGGGAAGTCAGAGTTGACACTCTTATGAAGCAAAC